GTTAATTGGCAAGTTGGATAAGTAAAAATAAGACAGTCCTTGAGCTGAGATTTCATTCTACATCACCAATATGTCAGAACATATTAAAAAGAAGTCATGCATGCACACCTCCTGGGCAGTTTTTGTAACCTATTCTTAAAATTGACTTCCACTTTATTTTCTTCACAATGAATTGAGTTCTATTTTTGACTTCTACAGTATGACAGCTCACTGTAGAGTTAGTTTTGTTTATCACAAAGGAATTAGGGTGACTTTTGAGGAATGTTTTGTGGAAAACTGAGTATTTAATCCTTACTAATCCTCAGTAAGAACTCAAGCAAGTATCTGTTTTTCTGATATTCAATCCTAAACATACATGTCCATTGCTCAGAATACTCTTATCTTTTTTTAGAACTCTAATAACTGAGATGTATTACTGGATTATTCATTCGAAAAACATTTGAGTCTTGAGTATATGCAAACTGTTGCCATAAAGACTACAGCCTAGAAAACCTGCTGGGGCAGTTCTGCTCAGTCACATGGAGTCACTAAGAGTTGCAGTTGACTCCATGGCACCCAACAACATTCTAGCCACTAGACAGGCATAGTTCTCAACCTTGTGGATTTAAATTTCAATAGTGTACACTGAAATTAGAGACTACTAGGGGAAAAGTAATTTTTCAAACTTCAAATAAACATTTATATATATATTTAATATACTCAGATGTAAACATAAGGTTTGAATTTCCCTGTTGTTGTTAGGTGCCACAGAGTCAACTCCAACTCATAGTGACCTTATGTATAACAGAATGAAATGCTCCCCAATCATGCACCAGCCTCAGAATCCTGCTATGCTTGAAGCCATCTGTTCTGGTTACCTAGTGCCTCTCTGACAGAAGTATACCACAAATGGGATGACCTTAACAAACAGGAGTCTATTTTCTCACAATTTGGAGGCTTTAAGTCCAAGTCCAAAGTGTCAGGCTCTAGGCACTGTATGAAAGCCCCTCAACCTTGGGCTTTAGCTCTGTCTCTTGCTCCTGGCCCACTGAAGCCAGAGGCATCTCTTCACTCAGGCAGCTCCTGGCTGCTGAGGCTAACAAGCCCACGATCGACAAATAAAATGGCACAGTTCTGATGTTACCAAACCACATGGCAGGCCATTAATTCAAGTCCATTGTAAGTCCTACGGTCAGCAAAGCATGGCAGGCTGCTGAACAATGACACGGTTACATGCAGGGTCCAAGCGTGCCATAAGCTAGAGACCGTTCCCCAAGGCTTCTGCTTATATACAGGAAGCAGACCACATTCCCTGAGGCAGCTACTCAGCTGCTCACAGTAGATTCCACGATGGAGTTGATTTTCGCTGACCCTCTACTTTCCCAAGCATGATCTCCTTCACCAGGGAATGGGTCCTTCTGATCACATGACCAAAGTAGTTGAAACGAAGTCTGGCCATTCTCGCTTCCAAGGGGCATTCCGGCTGTGCTGCTTCCAGGACAGATTTGTTCATTCTTGTGGCAGTCTATAGTATTCTCAGTATTCTTTGCCAACACCACAATTCAAAGGCATCAGCTCTTCTTTGGTCTTCCTTATTTATTGTCCAGCTTTTACATGCATATGAGGTGATTGAGTATACCATAGCTTGGGTAAGGGGCAGCTTAGTCTTCAAAGTGACATCCTTGTTTCTTAATACTTTAAAGAGGTATTAGGAGCTTTGTATTTTATCTGGTGTTATAATAATTCTTTATAAGAAGTTTATTGGTTTGATTTGAAAATCAAGTCAGTTTACCCCTCATTATCTAGGTATTATGAGCCCTGGTAGCTCAGTAGTTAAGCACTCAGCTGCTAACTAAAAGGTTAACACTTAAAACCCACCAGCAGCTCAGCGGGAGAAGATGTCTACTTCTGTAAAGATTACAGCCTTGGAAACTCCATGGGACAGTTTTGCTCTGTCTTACAGGCTTGCTATGAGTCAAAATCGACTCAACAGCAACAGGTTTTATCCAGGTATAGGAATGCTTTGCTATGTCCTCATCAGTTTTCTAGATTTTTTTTTTTTTCCCTTGTCTTATAAGTGCTTGGTAAATTTTCATTTTTATAATAATTAGAGCAAAACACAATTAAGAAAGTAGTAGTATATCCAGAAATAAAAATTACAAAAGCAAATAAAGTAGCATATCTATTTAAAAAAAAAAAGTTACTGCCATTGAGATGATTCTGACTCATAGTGACTCCCATTGGGTTTCCAAGGCTGTTAATCTTTATGGGAGTAGATTGCCCCATCTTTCTTTCATGGAGCAGCTGGTAGGTGCTGCCCTTCTGGTTAGTTGCCAAATGCCTTACCTGCTACTCCACCAGAGCTCCTTAACATATCTATAGCATTTATAAATTAATTTCACTTAGTATTGATAAGCAGCCTTGTATGCAGATATTTTTAAATTCATTCTGCTGAAAAGGAAATTCAGACAGAAAATAAGTGATATTAAAAAAAAACAAACTCACTGCTGTGGAGTCAGATCTGACTCATAGTGACCTCTTCCTGGGTTTTCAAGGCAGCATCACTACAGAAGTAGATTGCCCACTCTTCCTTCCGAGGAGTGGGTGGTGGGTTTGAACTGCCAGCCTTCTGGTTAGCGGTCAAATGCCTTAGGCACTGTGCCACCAGAGCTCTTGAAAATGAGTGATAGACCCAAAATTATTTTGTAAGTATGTGATAGAGATAGGACTTGAAGGCTAATAAGATTTTAGAGCATTTTTTTCTAATGCATTGTGAAATAAATGAAATTTGAATTACTACTCATTTTCCTGATGTCACTGTGTACCATAAATAGATTGACTATGACAAAAATAACATTTCAATATCTTTTCCCTGAAGAATAAATGGAGTGTTATTTATCAAATACTACAGCTGTCTGGTTGTAAATTGTGTCTATGTTTGGATAACCCAAAGCTAATTAATCCTAATGATTACACAAAAACTATTTTATTTTGATGTATAAAGTTAATATCAATGTGTTTTCAAAAATACTCAATACTCATCTTTGTGGCTCAAACCAAAAAAAATAATTCAGGTATCACTTGCACTTAAAAAAAAAATTAAACATTGGATGAGACTAGATATATTGTTGAGATTTAGCCACCACAAAGAAAGGGAATATAAATTAACCCTTTATAATTTAAGCTGTTGACAAATAACCACGGTAGAATATAAAAATCACTTAATTATATCACATTATTGATCTGAAGCAATTTAGCATAATAGACTTATTACTTGGTTGCTATAATTTTTTTTAAATGTCTAAATTTTAGCTAGATTTAATACCTATAGGTTTCAGGTAGTAGTTAGACAGTTTTTCAACTTTAATTTTTGTTTTACATTACTTTTCTTTAGATTATATATGGTACTCACTGTAATAAAACTTTCTACAACTGGGTGGCAGTGTTGATTTTTAGGAAACATCATGAAGAATGCTATACTGTTAGTTTATGTTCAAAGAAAATCATTTCAACAAGTATTTAAGTATGAAAATATCTTTATGCATATTAGTGAAAACATCAGACTCAGCTTTAACCAATGCAATTTGACTTGATTTTATGATGAGTTTTTGGTGTTTAAATCTGATTTGGTACATATTATATGCACATTTATTAACTTCATGACATAGATTAAAATTTTGAAAATCAACAATTAATAATTATTTATTAAATCTTGACTATGTTGTTGTTGTTATGTGCCGTCAAGTCGGACCTGACTCATAGTGACCCTCCTTGGGTTTCTGAGGTGGTATCACTATGGAAGTAGATTGCCCACCCTTCCAAGGAGTGGCTGGTAGGTTTGAACTGCCAGCCTTCTGGTTTGCAGTCAAGTGCCTTAGGCACTACTCTACCAGAGCTCCTAAGCTTTTCTTTATGGTGGTTTTATCAGTGAATAAAGGAGAATACAGTTTGTTTTTTAACTTAGAAAAATATGTAGATGAACGCTATAGAAAAAGAAGTTGTAATCAATCTCTTTCTTACTTTTTTAAGGCAACACACAAACTTTTTGATATGGTTCATTTTTAAATATATAAAAGATGACTTTTTATCATTTTCCCCCTTATTTTCTCATTAGTAATTTTTTTCAGTAGTTTTTTTTTTTTTAACTTTTCCAGTAAATAATTTTACATTATTTATGTGTGGTTCTTAAATAGACTGTTTCTTTTTTTCACACCTCTTCCCCTAGTGTTTATTGTCTTATTACATTATGACAGTCTGTGTGGTGATACTTCATAAAAGATTATATGAAAAGTCTTGCATCATTTATGACATTAGCATTCTTAAATTACTTTTTAATTAGATGTGTAAAACATCATTACGTTTTTTCTTAAAATTGAAAGGATACTTAAATCTAGTAGTTAATTTAAATTATTCTGTAAGTTTGGATATAAAAACCTTCAGGTAGAGGGGGAGAAATTTTTATTCCTTCTTACCCTAGTTTATTTAACTGTAAACTTTAACATGCAAAGTAAAAATTATAATACATTATATTGGATTGTGCTTGATAGGTTAGAATCTGTTAACCACTTTAAGAAAAGTAAAATTTGGCCAGAAAATATGTGCCTTAGTACTAATGTACCATGAGCTTTGGAATCGTGCTTAGTTCTGCTACCTGTAGACTTGGGATATTGGCAAGTTAAATATTAAAAAAGCAGTTATGACCAAGTATCAGTTTATTTTTCTATCAAATCAATAAGCTGGCAGTAAAACACTTTTTAAATGAAGAAAGTAATTTGATAAATATTTATGCATCATAAATGTGGGAAGGGAGAGGTATAATAGAAAGGATACTGTTATAAACCAAAAGAGAAAGGACGTTATAGCAAGGAATTTTGCGCATGATTGATGTAGATTTCTAAGGATTCGCCAATTACCATAATTTATTACATCATGGATCTTTTAAAATAATACACAGATAATGAATTATTGATTATGTCTCTCTTTGTCTCTTTAGGATACTTATGGAATAAGAATTCACAGAGAGCTACAATGGAAAAGTCATGGATGCTATGGAACTTTGTTGAAAGATGGCTAATAGCCTTAGCATCATGGTCTTGGGCTCTCTGCCGTATTTCTCTTTTACCTTTAATAGTGACTTTTCATCTGTATGGAGGCATTGTCTTACTTTTGTTAATATTTATATCAATAGCAGGTATTCTATATAAATTCCAAGATGTATTGCTTTATTTTCCAGAACAGCCATCATCATCACGCCTTTATGTTCCTATGCCCACTGGTATTCCACATGAAAACATTTTCATCAGAACCAAAGATGGAATCTGTCTAAATCTTATTTTGATAAGATACACTGGAGACAATTCACCCTATTCCCCAACTGTAATTTATTTTCATGGGAATGCAGGCAACGTAGGTCATAGGTTACCAAATGCATTGCTTATGTTGGTTAACCTCAAAGTTAATCTTTTGCTTGTTGATTATCGAGGATATGGAAAAAGTGAAGGAGAAGCAAGTGAAGAAGGACTCTACTTAGATTCTGAAGCTGTGCTAGACTATGTGATGACTAGACCAGACCTTGATAAAACAAAAATTTTTCTCTTTGGTCGTTCCTTGGGAGGAGCAGTGGCTATTCATTTAGCTTCTGAAAATTCACATAGGATTTCAGCAATTATGGTGGAAAACACATTTTTAAGTATACCGCATATGGCCAGCACTTTATTTTCATTCTTTCCAATGCGTTACCTTCCTTTGTGGTGCTACAAAAATAAATTTTTGTCTTACAGAAAAATCTCTCAGTGCAGAATGCCTTCTCTCTTCATTTCTGGACTTTCTGACCAGTTAATTCCACCAGTAATGATGAAACAACTTTATGAACTTTCCCCATCTCGGACTAAAAGATTAGCCATTTTTCCAGATGGAACTCATAATGATACATGGCAGTGCCACGGCTATTTCACCGCACTTGAACAGTTCATCAAAGAAGTGATAAAGACTCATTCTCCAGAAGACATAGCAAAAACTTCATCTAACGTAACAATTATATAATGTAGCCTTTGATTAATGCACTGTATTATAATGTGTGCAGAATGAAAAAGAATGTTCCTCTCTAGAAATGTGTTATGTCTGTACTTGTCTAAAGAGTGATATTAAACTTTGAAAGGACTTTAATGCTTCTTTATGATGATCCATATAGTTTTTTACATTTGAAGAACTATAATTCTTGGGATTATTTCATACATTTTCATCAAAATTTTCAATGTGGTTATGTATTCATATTTTTAGGTTAGTATACCAGCATACTAGATACTACTCAGAAGTTTCTTGTTGCTAAAAAAAGGTATGCTGTCCATTACACTTAGATTCGTGACTGGCAATGAAGGAGATAGATAAACAAGAAATTCTGGGTTTTATTCCTTTAATAATTATTGGGACAATCATGGTAAGCAAACAGTTCTGTAACTGCATTTTTTACATTAAAAGTTAGTATGAAATGCATGATGGTATTTTATTCCTTGAATTATGCAATGCAACATTTTAAATGTAAATAGCAATGATCATATACTGGTGTATATGGTTACTTGGGTTATATCTATTTTTATGTAAACTTTTGTTTTTGGCAGGAAGTGAAATTGAGGCCTCTGTGCTGGTTGCCATTGAATTTTGCTCTGGTGAATGCTGACATCCAGCTTTTTACAAATAAATGGGACCCCATTTGCCAATATAAATGTACCATGTTTTTGTTAGGTACAATCTGGATTATGGCATGTAAAAATAGAAATTTAGAATTTTATTGCAGCTTCAATGTGCATATTTGAACTTTTTAACGTTTGTAATTTTGGTGGCAACAAGAATTTTAGCTTATGTCTATTTTGTAAGTCTACAGCTGAACCAGTAGTAGTAGCCATAATGAAGATAAGAACTTGTTTAATAATTAGGAATTATCATTACATGACTGTACATGCTATTTTACAAAAAATCCCATATTTGATTTTTAAGTCCCAATATCTATATCTAACCCACCAAAACCAAGGTATTTACTGGGCTTAGTGAAAATAAAAGTTAAAGTAACAAAAACAAAAACTATGTTTTTTGGTTTAAAGTTTTATTTGCTATGAAATATGAGAAGTCTTGGACCAAAAGACAGATTGTCTTTAAGAAATACTTATTTTTTTACATGTGAGATTGTGGGAATTAATGAATCTAGAGAATTTTAACACAGAACCTATTACCACATTTAATAATTAAATGACTGTAAGTGGAAAGTAGTGTTTCGTTATGTTGAAGAGGAAGGAAAACCTTACTTTAAAAATATATATAGCCCCTTAAAATTTGCAGGATTTACCTTAATAAAAAATAAGCTATGAGGCATTATGAGGCATAATTGTGCTAATTTGTTTCAAGTGGTCCTCAAAAATTAGATGTAATTGAGCTCTGTACATTGTTATGTTAGCTTTACAACATATTTTGAATATTTTAGCTATATTTATTGGCTTTTTGCAAGCAGTTAGAGCAGAGAAATAATGAGTCAGTAAACCTGAACTTAATTTAAAACTCTTTCATGGAGATAGGGCTAGAAATACTTTTGCCAAATACCATTCTTAATACTCACTTCATGTCAGTATTTAGAAAAAAATAAATTATAATAAGTATAATTTCTAAAAAAATAATGTTTTTCTATAAATGATTAAGTGTACAAAGTCTTGCTTTTTTTAAAAGAGTTGGTAACATACCATGGAAGGTGTATTTTGTATGTATAAATTCACCAAAATTAAAGGCTGCTTTTCATCTTGTCAAATCATTGTTATGTAGAGTGACTATATTATATAGTAATGTATTAAAAAGAAAAAATCAGTACAAAAAGATGTATTATATTTAGAAATGAGCTTGTCTAATACACCTTATATTTGTAACATTCTTTAAAGTTTACAAAATACCACCTTATGTTTTCCTGTGATCATTTAGTGTACTGAACAATGGAGAAATTTATCAATATTATTTGTAAATATGCTGATTAAGCATAAACACTTTTCCTTCATCACTGTTTTATTGTTTCTATACTCTTATTTGGATATGCCAGGTTTATAAGCTGTTTTTTTTTTTTTTAAAAAAATGCTTTGCGTAAAGTTGTAGAGGAGTACTTGTATACCATTCCCTACCTTTAATCTCATCATAGGTTTAAAGAGCCTTTCTGCAGCAAAGGGAGGAGATTTTGTCCAGAGTTGTATTAATCTTTCTTTACTAGCTTCTGTTTGACACTATTTCCTTAGATGAAAAAGGGGAAGGAAAACAAACTTACTATCAGAGGTCTGTGAAGGCCATGGCATCATTTTTTTCAAAGAATTTCTAATTTCATAATCAAAGCAATTGGTCAAAATATGAATTCTTCATGAACTGCTCCTTCATTTTGGACCCATCCCTTGGTAATAATGAAGAGTGACCATTTTGTCAATTTCTGGCTCATTTACGTATGACTTTTATGTTACTAAGCTCTAAGTTTGGCAAACATAGAATAATCTCAAGTACAGCAAGATAAAATTCACTTAGAGTGAAATCCAGAGTCCATTTTTAAAAGGGAATTATTGAAAAAGTCTTGTAATTTACCTAAAAAACATGGAAAAATACAGGAAGAAATAATTTGTGACAGGCAAAATATGACCAGTAGAACTGAAACAACTAGGAAAGGAAATGTTAGATAGTTCTTAAATTAAGGTATAGGAAATAATTATTGTAAAGGAAATTTAGCAGAGTAAAAAAAACATTTGTAAAGCATTTCTAATGGGTATTTTAGTTCAACTACCCTCTTTTTGCAAATCCTTGAACTAAAATTAATACTTTTCATTAAAATAGTACTGTAAATCTTGTTAAGGGTCCCTGGGTAGTGCAAGCGGTTCAGACACTCGACTGCTAGCTGAAAGACTGATGGTTCAAACTCACCCAGAGACACCTCAGAAGACAGGCCTGGTGATCTGCTTCTGAAAGGTCACAGCCTTAAAAACCCTGTGGAGCAGGTCTACTCCGCACACATGGGATCTGCATGAGTCAGTTGACTTGTTGGCAACCAACCACAGATTTGTTCCTGGACAGCTTAAACGTATTTTATCATGATAAGCTATAAACACTTGATAATACATTCCAGGTTCACTAATTTTTCACAAGTAATTATAATACTTCCTGTTGAGAATTCATACCAGCTAATATGTATATAGATGTTTCTTATATTGTAGAATTTGGTTTGAGGTGAAAATAGATTTGTTTCCTAGAATTAAGAATGAAGGCCATATTCAATTTTATATAAATTATCTTAGAAACTGACAGTCTCAGTTTAGTTTATATTGGTGCGACCCCTCCATCTTTGAGGTTAGTAGTTTAAGGATGTAATGGAAGTCACTTTGTCATGTAGGTCATGATTGAGACACTGAAATCCACTGATCCTTCTTCCTTTTTCATGTTATGTTTGACAAAAATTATTAAAAAAAAAAAACTGAAAGGAAAATTTAGTCATAAATAATGCTGTCAGATTAGCCACTTAAAAGATATTTTCATATCACTCAGGTAAAGTTGGAAATGACAGAGCACAGACATTTTTTAAATTGATAGAGTAGAAAATATAATCTACTGTTTATTCATGTTACCATATATATGCACATCAGCATTTTAGCTAATCAGAAATAATACATTCACTTGTATGGTGAAATAAATGCAAATAGTAGTCCTAAGTTCTAGGGAACACATTTTTTGCCAAAAGGCACAGATATACCTCCATTTATATTTTGTATCTTAAAAATGTAGATTTAAAAATAGGACTATGTATAGGAGACACTTTTTATTTATGAAAGTGCCATATATACATATGTAACAGGGATGAGTGTGTTGTGTAACATAATTTATAATAATTTCTGTCAGTACAGCATATACTGGAAATCGAAGTTGTTTTCAACATATTCAAATATGTTCAGGGTAAAATAATTCAATTTCAATAAATCATATTTTTATTTACCATATTTTATTTGAAGCAGTGATGATTTTATAACAAATGTTACAGTAAATTATGTGCTAACCATGGCAAGTGAACATTTACATTTTTTTTACAATAAATTTATTTTAAAATATACTTTATATTTTTCTGTACTGACATGCAATAAATTGATACATTAAAAGTTTGAATAATGTCTTAAGATAGTTTGTATTTAGTCTCTTATTTTCTGTTAAATTGTATGGAAAGGCATAGAAGTTTCTTTGGTTAAATAAATAAAAATCCTGAATTTGTAGTGAAATTAATACATTTTTATTTTAATAATGGTGTGGATAAAAAGTAGAACAGGTTTATATTCATACCCCCAAGAACATTGTTCTACATACTTTAGGTTTAAACCATCATTAAAAAGTATTTTTTTAATATACGAACTGCTGGTAAATGACTAGGCCCCAGAACATATGGTTAGTTAAATGAATCAAGATATGAAAAAATTTTATCTGTTCATAGTCATGTTGACTTTACATTTCATAAAAAACCTTTTCAAGAAAATCTCAGTTGTATTTTTTCTGTTACTAGTATTTAAGTCAGTGTTTTTGGATGATTAAATAATGACCTGATAATTCATCCTGCCTTCATAGGTTATAAACTTAACTTTCCCTATCAAGAAACTTGCTGTGCTTGCATGGTGTCAGCACCACTTGGATGATAGGAAGTGTACAATTTTGCAACCCACTGGATGTGGAGATGAAGAATTCACTTTAATTAGAGACCAGCTTTTTATGGGTAGATCTGGTACGTCCCTGAATAATGGCCACCATGATAATTAAGGTGAAGTTTTTTAGATTACTGCTTTTTTCCTTTTCAAAAGAATTTGTTTTCCACATTCCCACTTCACTTTCCAACTCGTCCTTTACATTCCATTGTATCCTAAACATCATGAGTAATTGGATCTGCTTAGATAATACCCTATCATGGCAGGCATGGGAGGGAGAAGACATTACAAGTGTAAGGCCTAGATATTGCATGTGTAATACTGAATTCTCCCAACAAACCTTTTGGTTGTAATGCCATTGTATATGTAAAAATCAGGTTTGGACTGGTTCAGTACCTTGTTAACAAAGAATGAAGCCAGCTTCCCATACTGCACCCAATCTCTACTCTTGGCCTACCTGTGCTCATTATCCAACCAAGTGCCCCTACATCCAACTCAGGCCCCACTTTGTGGTATCTCTAATAATAGTTTTCTCTCCTTTTTGAATACTCACTGCACTTACTTGCTTTGTATGTATTGGTAACTGATTATATTCAACTCAGTTCATTATTACATAAGAATCTAGCATAAAAAGCTGAACAAATGAGACAAAGGTACAAATAAGCCTCAAAAGAGAGGAATGAATCCTGATGGAAGATATGAAATACAGAACATCAGGTAAGATCAGTAAGTCTAGCAGTGACGAATAGAACTTGTCAGATAAGACAAGAAGAACCGTAGAAAATCAAAAGGGCACATCAGTGGAAGCCAAAGAACCACTTGCCATGGAACTACTACTCTGGTTGAAAATGATTTTATCCTCCCTTTAACTCCTTACAATCTGTTTCTTGCTGCAAGTATCTGTGGTTCCATTTTTCTTACTGTTTTTGAACAAATGAGATAGGACCAGCACTTGGATTAATGTGGCACATTCACATGTTTCTTGGCCTTCATTTCCAGGACATACTCCTTGAAGTATAAATCAGCTCAAATT